CGAGTGAAAAAAACATAAATAATAATTACGACTCTCATTTGTATATCCTTAAAGTGAAATGGTACTTCATCAAGACCCTCTCGAGGATGGGCAAACTACGGCCCGCGGGCAAACTCCGGTCCGCAAAATGATTTAATCCGGCCCGCCCCATATGTTGTAATAATAATGTAAAACAGTTTCACTCACTGTGTAAAATTTATTTTTTAATACAAGTTGAAACATTACGATGTTTCATTTCTTTGTTCACCTACTGCAGGCTGAATCGAAAAACATTGAAACTAAAATGTCGAGTAAATGTGAGTTAATCTGGAATATCGGGTTTTTAAGGCTGAGTGGACATGGATGTAATTTTTCATAAATCTTGACCAACCAATATGTCTTATTTTCCCCGAAAGGGTCCGTGGACCACAGTTTGAGAAACAATGCAACAGACGACTCAAGAGTGCTAGAGTGATAAGACGTATTTCTGTTCTTAGATTTTTTTTTTCAAAATACTATCTTATATTATTACTAAGTCTACTATATTTTTTTTATCACAAGTTAAATGTGTCTTTATTGTAATAAAAGTTCTATTTAGTTTTGTTCACAAAAGGAGTCGTTCAAGGTGTTTCAAATTTTATAAGTTAAAATACAATACGCCAGCGGTTCTCAACCTTTTAGGCTCGGCGACCCCTTTTTACAATCCCCCACTCTGCCGCGATCCCCCCTCCCCTACACACACATACAACAATAGAAGAGTTGACAATAAAAATCCATATTTTCGATGGTCTTGGGCGACCCCTGGCAAATCGTCAATAGACCCCCAAGGGGGTCGCGACCCATAGGCTGAGAACCCCTACAATACGCATACAGCGGTTTAGTTGTCTACCAGCAGTTTGGTGCTACAAGTCAACGGCCGTCAACATCAAAGTGATACTAAGTACAGTATATATAAGAAGTGGTAAATATAAGAAGATAGCAAGAAAGAGAGAAAACTATTCCCAAAATAATATATACGAATTGACTAATCTATACTATAAAGTAGAATGTGAGGTGTATGTATGTGACTTATAGACATCAAAACCACTTGACCAATCTTGATAAAACTTGGCAGGAATGTTTCTTGGGCAACAACTTAGACCTTAGTGTATGTATTGTAGCCCTAAAACAAACTTAAGACCCTAAAAAAAAATAAAGTTGTCCGACTCTATTAAAGCTATAGTATTTTATGGATCTAGGCCATGTCTACAATGTTGACATGAGAAAAGATCGAAAGGATTTAGACCTATATCTAATTTTAAGAAATACACTTTGCGCAGATAGTTTTTTACTTTGACACATGAAAATACAAAAGAAGATCCTTTGATTTCATTATATAATAAAATTAACCTTCAAATTTGTGTTTCAAAAGCATTTTTTACATTAATTAGTTCCTTATATATGTAACTACAGATTTCCTGATAAACATTCTTTCATTAGACAATACCGTAATGAATCGCGTACTAAAAATTAATTCGTTTAATTGTTTACTTTATAATCCCATTCCTAGATCTAAAACTCTAATTCAACTCTAAGATGATAAAACTTCTCTTCGCACAGATAGTTTTATACTTTAACACATGAACATACTAATTATAGTCCATTCATTTCATATTTTGATCAAATAAACATTCAAATTTGGTTTTCTAAATCATTTTTAAGAGACTACATTCGTTTACGAAAGCTGCGAAGCCGAGTTGAGATAGGCCTAGATCTATATTCATTCATGAATCGCGTACTAAAATTTAATTCGTTTAATTGTTCACTTTATAATCCCATTCATTTAACAAAGCTATCGCTCTTTTCGTTTTTAATAGATATGAATGTATCGGCTTCGGGTAAACCCATTTTCGCAAAACTAATTTTATTTTCGTAGCAAAAGAAAAAACTTGAAAGGATCATTAGGTAACTTTAACATACATCTAAATCCAATACACTAGATTAGTAAACGCAAACTTAGGCCCGCAGGCCGCGGGTAATGTCAGGCTAGTCTTTTATATATTCGATCTACAATTCCCAAAATAATATATACGAATTGACTAATCTATTATATATTTGATCACGAGATCTCTTAAAATGCCTTACGTATCCGCATCAAATTTCGTACACAGATTCCTTTTACCTATTAGGTGCTCACTAAGAACGGTTTTTGACATTTTCGCAACCTGACGACCGGTATTCGCGAAAAACCGCAAGCTCTATCAAACGCCCCCTCTCTATGTAACAAGCCTATTGTAACGAATCTCACTAACCATGCTCTCTGCAAACTGCACCGCACACCACCAACTTAAAGAGCTTGACAACTCAGGGCTCCAAAGTAACGTAACAGTTTAATGTTCGATAAATTACAGCCAATACTGTACAATTGGCAACACGTAACATAGGCTATACAAATATCTCTCCGATAACACCGTACCGACGTATCAACTCTTGCACTGGCCTCTCCGTCTCGTCCCCGGCTTGCACTGGGTACAACTATAATTAATGGACTTAATCTAAAACAAGTTCATCCATATATTTACATTTGATTTTTTGTTTATTTTAGACCAATGTCTCCGATTTTTTTTTTTACTTTGGACCAATGTCTCCAAAGTCTGAGAAGAAAAATCAGGTATAAACATCAGGAGAAAACACGACCCTTAACTTAAGAAAATATTAAGAAATTAAAACAGAAACAAAATAGACAGTGAGATTCATAACAAACAAATATTCACAATTGATTACAGTAACACCTTTTAAAAATACCTTTTAAAAACACCTTTTCAATTATAATTTTTAAATAGTTTTAAAATCACAATTTTTATTTCTACAATTATTTTTGTGTGTGAAATTGTGTATCGGAAAATGCCGCGTACTTGAAGTAAGCTAGTCCTATAAAAAAATACACAGATCTTGAGTAAAAGACTGTAAATGTTTAAGGTGTTTTCCTTTTATAGTCTCTATTGGGATTGATCCCAATACCCGTATTTTTGTGCAGAATTTTTTTTCTATCAGGTACACTTAAATTTACAGCCTAATAATGTCAGTTTAATTTAAAATGAGAGCTGAAAAATTCAAAAGATATTTAAGGAAAAAGGTACTTCCGGCCCAATTTCTGATTCTAGTTTTAAACCATGGAAACGACACGCATTAGCGCAACATAGTCCATTGGTGCCTTTGACTAATGCAATTGATGGTGTGAAGCGATGCATAATTATTAATATAAAGTCTGGGAACAAATCAACGGGCGTAGCCGGTGTGTACTGCTAGTTAACATATAAATTATAAATTAACGAGAAGGGCTAACAAGGAAAAGAAAGATGTAAAAAAAAAGAATTATAAATATTTATAAATAATTTTTCTTTCTTTATAACTTTATATATATGCATGACTACTTCAACCCTGATGAACTAAATGGTGAATCAAAAAAAGTAATCCTTAATAATAGACTGCTACTTTACCCATTTCAGAGACATTCGAAATTTGACATACGAAAACAAACCACTGTTAGAGACAATATCCTGCTTGTGTGTCTAGAACAGTATTTAGTCTAATAGACACCACAGCACAAGAAGTCAGAAGGCACAGACCGTGAAACTTAAACTTCCTTGTTGTGTTTTTGTTATCATTTCGACATGACCTAAATCTAGAGCTCTAGTATTTCATTGGAAACTAGGATAGATACAACACAAAAAAACGGGCGCAGGAAAGTTGGCAAGCGTGAAATTTCTGGCATTTTTAAAACGAAGTGGAAAAATGGGCACCGGAATGTCACTCTTGAAACGCTGCTTTGATCTTTAAGAAGTATTTGTTAACGATTATAGTAGCCTGTATTTTTTTGATAACATTGTCAATCAAAAACACCAATTATGGATTTTTTTTTCAGTAGCACTTGCATTACAGGAACAAAATGAAATTACGTTCAAAAGAAGCCCCAAACTGTTTGTCTTCCAATCTAGTGAGGTCCAGTTCGAATTTTAACTACAGTCAGTAGGGTTAGCGGGCTGCCCCAAGACATCACGGAAACGTTCTCCCATATACCTCCTCCCTCCACATCTTATCTTATCTTATCTTTTCTTATCTTATAAAATACAGACGTTACTTCCAAATAGAGGATAATTACATCCTACGCGTGTCCCCATGTCAAACTACTCATGCATTTTAACCTGCTAAGTCACTGGTTTTCCTGGCTGACTTAGGCAACCCTTTCCATGCACTAATATCTTCAAAGCGATTTGACTGCAGTCCTCTGAATATGTTATAAGCATAAATATGCTTTATACTAAAGTAGCTACATTTTACATAAGAAATATTCCTAAGTGATAGATAGTAAGGGCTGTATCGGGTTGTCCTGTGCGCGGAAATGTTTGTCTTCAGAATTGGTTTCTGTATGTACTTGAACTAGTGACAGAGCGATATGTTGTCATGAATCGTGTGTTTGTGTGTAGACGTCATGGCTTCATTTCTTGAAGTTCCTTTGGTCCAGATGTTGCGCTGATGGTTGCTGTTCGGGCCCCTGTTTCCACTGTTTCCCCGTTGTAATAGGCACGCTAGTTCACAGACAGTCTCAATTAGTCTCTAGTTCTTTTGATGCGCGTAATCGCATCGGTGTCTCGGTGTTGCGAGTTTTAGAGGTGTGATATTGTTTTATAATACTTTATATACTTAGCGCTGTACAATTAATACATGATATAATGCACTGTATCTTAACATTCATATCTTACCCATTCACGTTATAGCTCATTATTAACTGTTCATTTAAACAACGTAGGCTGTCCATTTATTGCTTAGTTAAAATTTTGTAATTTTAAAAAAGTTACTCTTGAGTTGCAGCCGTTTACCACTGCATTATCCTAACGAAGCAGGGGACCCGGTTTATTTGTCTTAAACTTGTAAAACACTTGTAACCCACCATAACAGGTTGCAGCTTCAGAAAGTTAGTACAGCATTATGGGCATTTGAATTTAATCGACAGAGATTTTAAAGTAAAAGCTTCAAATAGTATTTTTTTTTAATGAACAAAATGAACTTTATTTTTTTGTTACAAATATTTAAAATCACCATAACTCATCACTCAGTGTAAACGTGTAGAGAAATACAATCCACAAACACAATATAAATGTATACAGATATAACAATACTATTACAATAATAACGACGATTTATAAATTATCTCAATTCATTAGATTATACTGATCTAACTATTCAATGTACACACGTATCTAAGTCTCTCTCTGAATTTTACCAGCCGCCCCTCTTTTAAACCAAATACATTCTATTGCAGCGGTTCTCAACCTTTTAGGCTCGGCGACCCCTTTTTACAACCCCACTCTGCCACGACCCCCCTCCCCCGCACATACATACAGCAACAGAAGAATAGACAATAACAATCCATTTTTTCGATGGTCTTCCGCTACCCCTGGCAAATCGTCAATCAATCCCCCAAGGGGGTCGCGATCCACAGGTTGAGAACCATTGTTCTATAGTATCATAGTCAGAGTACATAATTACAAGAGGCTACACCAGTCACACACACACGAACTCGTTTCCCCATTGCTGCTGACCACTGGGAAGTCATAGCCCTAAATGAAAGTGCCATATATAAATCTGCTCAGAGTATATAGAATTCTAGTTTGGTAATACAGATCCAGAAATGGCAACATTTATAAAACTACAGCAATAGTTTATACTAGAATACTGGATCTAGATATATGCTATAGAAGATTCTAGTTTGCTGATAGGCCTCTAGATCCAGACTTAGAAGACGGTACGCAAAATATTTCTGCACTATGTGGGGATATGACGAAAAGGGATTCGGACAGCGAAAAATTATTAGCTCTGGAAGAAAGGCGTCCCAAGCAAGAAAATGGATGGCTCCTCTACCACCAATGAGACTGCCACCTTATTTGCGTTCTAGGCGGTCTGTAGTATGCGTCTAGAATGGGGCTCTACCGCCACATGATAGTCTGTCTACTACTGTAGGGGGACCACCAAATTATACATACGAAAGTATGTGGTATAACCATGCCATTTGTGAGTAGTTGTTTTTTTATAATGACAACCATATCATTAATGTTTTTTAAATGATAGATTATTTTATTTATTAACTTTGATGACTTATTTCAAAACAAGTTTAGATTGACATAGTTGCCACAGTTAGCTTTTAAACAAGTCTGTTACAGTACTTCCGACTTTAAGAAATAATGAACATTCCAGATATATATGCTTCTCGTTATCAACGTTTTCAAGGTGACATAATTTATATTTATAGACATTTTGCATGTTAATTAACTATAGGGGTCATTATTATTATTATTATAGCTTTTATATAGCGCTAATTTCATGCTTATAGCATGCTCAGAGCGCTTTGGTCCAATCTCATTTGTGAACCAGTGGGTGGGGGGAGGGGATATCTAGGAGTTGGTTTTCAGTGCTGCCTTTAGGCGCTCAGTAAACGCAACTCTGCCCGAGTCGAGTGCCGAGCCTCGAGCCCCCTTCTAGGTAGCCAAGACAAGCCAAGTTCAAGCGCACTTAGCCTCTCGACCACGCTTCATTTCAATATTGAAACCATCAGAGACAGAAAAATGATACAAGGATTAGCATATCAACAACTAAAGGATAACCAAGAATAAAAGTAAATACACACCAATATTTACACACTAATACATGCATGACCGCATCCACATACCAAACATAAATATATACACTCAATTATCTTGAACATAACCCACAGGGCTACAAAACAAGGTGTCGAAGACTTCTGAGGGCACAGTCCAACGAACATATGCAAATACCTCCTAATACAAGCCCAACATTTATTTTATGTAAATAATTCATTTAGGTCAAATACATTTACAATTAATACATTTACAATTAAAAAGCTACTAGTACTGTAATACTGAAGAATACATACATATCCCACAAACTATCATTCCGCGTACATAAGATCGCACCATTACCTGCATACACATATACCCACAAGAACAACACTTGTGTATTCACAAATATACAAACCCACACATTTTCCTCTACCATACCACCATTTACATTCCCCCTAAATTTTCCAGTTAAAAGTCTACAATTTGTTTAAATATAATGTCGGGGAATCAGGAAGGAACTTTTATTTTCCATAAAAATATTCAGGCTAGTATTCCAAATAAGTTACATTATACATTATAGTTGAGACCATAGCAAACGTGCTATATGTATACCACAAATTATTGTACTTAATCAGATTTTAAAAATAGTTAGAGAGTATGCGCATAAATTATGCATACTTATGTTTTAAATTTAAAGTGCCAAGATGTGAAATAATGGAAGAAAACCTTTCCTACTAATATCTACAAAAGAGATGAGACTAGTTGCATCAAGCATGAAGGACTCAATATATACAAGAAAATGACACTAATACTAAATAATAACAGTTTTCAATCAAGGTTTGTGTATGTGTATTAAATTTCATTTAATTAAGACTTCTGGCTATAATACTCTTGTGAATATAACGAAATAGAATCGAAAATAATGTCCACCTGGTATAAATACACTAAATGACTACACAACAAGCATCTCGAGCATTTCGTAAACACATTCATACTTTTAAGTTAGAGGCACTTGTAAACATAAGAATGACAACCGATCCAGTAAATCATTTTCAGAACAAATTCAATTTTCTATCAAGCTTGTGTTTGACTAATAGGCCGGGTGTCTTTACTATTTATCTGCTGGTAAGATCATTGGCAAACAAATAAACAAACCCCATTTGGGCAGTTGCTTTAGACGGACATCTATGAAAAAAGCTAACAAGATCCTCGAAATAAAGAATCACTCTTTGTGTCTGGATTGGTATAAACTTTGTCACATGTAAATTCTGAGTGAGCCTGGTGTGAATGTACATTTTGGTTTCTTATAGTTGTAATGTTTTTTGTTTGGTGTAATATACAAATTGTAAGACAAATTTCCATACGGACAATAAAGATTATTATTATTATATTATTATTATTATTATCTGAAATCAACTCGTGATTGACCATGACACGAAGGGCTGCTCCAAGTTCGTCCTCTTGCAAGTAACTGCTGTTCGGTGTATTGCCTGATAGGACCAATACAGATGCAGTGACTTCGCAGGTAAGTGTCCCCTTAGTTTAGGAACTGCTGACACCAGAACTTGTTCATTGTATCGCATTTTCTTCTGCGTCATCTTCGTTTTCACCATCTAATCTGTGCAGGTTGTGCACCTGGAGTCATTAAATAAAAAAAAATGGACAGCAATGGCTCGTCAAACAGTCTAGTCATATATTATTTAGTATTCAAAACTCGTCGTAGGATTCATTTGATCAAAACAGAAAAGAATGCCACTTGCGTTTTCAATAAAACATTGAACTAGTTATTGTAGCTTTTCTAATAAAATACAGACATTGTAAAACAAATAAACAATTTACAAGAGAATATTTAAATTCACAAATTGTCAGACATTTTTATTTACCGCGGAACTCAATTCTTTAACTGTCGAAGAACTCTACAGAAGATACTTGTTTTAAACATCTGGAATATCTGTTTTGTTTCCCATGGTTACTAGAACAGCTGGGGGGTCACTCACGAAGGCCGCGGGATACACATTTGAGATTCAAAGAAAATCTGCTGACGAGGACGAAGGCAGACGGCGAAAAGAAAATCTAAATCGACCATCTGCGGACAATGGTTATGCTTGCACTGGATGTGACAAAATATGTAGGTCCACAGCTGGGACTGCGCCGCCACGGTGAATACTGAGTTAAGGTTTACTCTGTATGGTGTGATCTGCATTCTCCAATGTTGTATGTCCAATGTTGTATGTCCAATGTTGTATGTCTAATGTTGTATGTCTAATGTTGTATGCCTAATGTTGTATGTCTAATGTTGTATGTCTAATGTTGTATGTCTAATGTTGTATGTCTAATGTTGTATGTCTAATGTTGTATGTCTAATATTGTATGTCCAATGTTGTATGTCCGATGTTGTATGTCCAATGTTGTACGTCTAATGTTGTATGTCCAATGTTGTATGTCCAATGTTGTACGTCAAATGTTGTATGTCTAATGCCGCATTAAAAACTCAACGTTTTGTTTTTCAAATCTCTTTGCCTGATGCTCTCAAAACAATTCCCTAAATCTTTCATCAGGTAACCACGTGCACAGGAACAAAAACAAAAACAGTAACAAAAAAATAAAAAGATTGGGAAAAAAACACGAAAATAAATTTAAAAAATGCTCAATGGACATCATTAAACCGTATCTGTATCAGCCACTTTTCACGGATACTCTAGACCCAATAGTGACCTGCTGTTACCGCCCTACTCAGTTAGAGAGTTAGAACTATAGACAACAATGCATTATCATCCAAATATAAGGAATCTTATAGTATAACATTTTTACAAGTGAAAAAAACAAATCGCCCTAGAAGTGAATGTGTTGAGCACAAATGGTTTAATATTTTTTTCTTTAAGATAAACAATTAAATGAAGCAATTATAGTAAAAAAAAAACATTAAAACAAAAAAGATTAACTCTTTCTCTACTAACTCACGATACCAACGTTGATTCCACCAGAATTTAGTAAATAAATAATTACGGAGAGAAAGAGTTAATTAGAAAATTTTTGTTTTCTTTAAAAATCAAAACAATTTTCTACCGTTGGGGCTGCCGCACCAAATATTGGTTGAACTTCTTGTCGTTGACCATTGTTGGTGTAGATGTGACAAGAGGTTAGAGGCGGGCTGTAATAGAGAAGACAACGTTTTTATGCATAATTAGAAGACCAACACAATGACAGGGATTGTACCCTTTAAGTAAAGTGTTCTAGTTCAAGGTCTAGCGGCACCATTTACTACGTGAAATGTTATACAGAGAGAAAGTAGATAGATGTAATGGCTTTTTAAAAGAAGTTAGAATTCAGATATTATGAGAAATATGTGTAGAAATGTAACATTACTTACAAATAGAGCACAAATGATACAGCTTTCTCAGTATAGCTAAGATTCCTGACGCAGTGTGGAGTATACGTTGCTAAAGACAAAAAAAAAAACCGAAATGTTGAACAATTCGTACCAAATTTATTGAAGTTCAATTATTTAAGAATATTTTTCTCTCTCAATTTAACCTTGCACCCTTAACCTTGCCGACCCTCTATTCTTTTGCATATCATATAAAATTAGATCGGGAAATCGGAACCAGTACAAACAGCGGAAGACTGTGAGCAGACAGGAGACAGAAATAAGGTGGGTGTATGAGGTGGAACTGGACTGCTTAAAAAACGGT